TTAGCAGATTTTGGTTCAATCTTGAGGACAAATTGTACCTTGGATCCCTACATGGTTCATGCACTAAAGAAACACTTGTACATGTGGAAAAGGAGACCTAAAAGTATAGCCTTTTTGTAAAGGTGAAAAATTGAAGACAGTGTAAATGCTCATCAGTTGGGGAAGAAAAGTGAATTTTAGAATATGTCTCTAGAGGAATATTAAAAAATAAAATATATCTGATGTGCATAAGTGCATTAATATAAAGGAGAAAGGCATTATACCAGGCAATAAATAAAGTCTCAGAAGAATTTTTGAAAGAATTTGTATTTGTAAAATGATCAATATTTGTAAATAATATAGATATGTAGACATGTAGCAGAAAATATAATAATAATATGTTGGGACAGAGGTTTTACTCAGCTATTACATAACTACTTGAAATGCCCTCAACCCATTTCAAAGTACCTGATTTGAGTGCTGGCTGCTCTAGTTCAAGTTAAACTTCTTGCTATTGCACATCCTGAGAAACAGCAGCCAATGGCTCAAGTGTTGGAACTTCTGCTACCCATGGAAGAGACTAGAATTGAATTCAGGGCTCCAGGTTTCAGCCTGACCCATCTCTGTTAGAGACACTTGAGAAGTAAACAGTAGATGGAAGATCTCTCTCTCTTTTTATCTTTCTGCCTTCATATAAAATGAAAATTAATAAATAATTTTTTTAAAAAAAGAATAATACGCTCTCAGATTATTTACTAACTCCCAGTAGGGGAGAATACCAAAGAGATTGGAGAATATACAAGGAGTTTTAACTTCTTTTGTGCCATTTATTTCTCTATGGTAGTATATGTATTTTTAAATATTTACTTATTTATTTGAAAGGCAGAGTTAACAGAGAGAGAGGGAGACACAGAAAGATCTTCTATCCACTTGTTCACTCGCCAAGTGGCTGCAATGGCCAGGGATGAACTAGGCAAAAGCCAGGAGCCAGAGCTTCATTCAGGTCTCCCACATGGATAGCAGGGGCGCAAGCACTTGGGCCATTTTCCATTGCTTTTCCCAGGCCATTAGCAGGGAGGTACATTAGAAGTGGAGCAACCAGGACATGAATCAATGCCCATATGGGATGCTGGTGTTGTAGATGGTAACTTTATCAACTATGCCACAGCACCCACCTATTCCATTTTAGTATGAATATGAATATTAATCAGTTCATATGAATACTGAATTTAATCTGAATTATTATTAATATTAATTTGAGGTAGCAAGGCACAACACTGGAATCTATAAAGCAAGATGGTAAGTTTATCATTTCCTTTGTACACTGTTGGTTTCAAATATCTTAAAAATTAATTAGAAATCCTTAGAGAAATATGCATGGTGGTAGGAAAGGAATGATAACTCAGTTTTAGCATCTTAGAAAGTCAAAAATATTTAGGTAATGAAGATTTCCAGTTCATCTTATGCTCCAGAAATTTTCATTTCACAGAGCATCAAATTTCACAAGGAATGATGAGCATTTGTAGTAGATGTGATTTTTCATAAACATCTTTATTTAATATTGTCAGTTTCAAGTATTTAAGCTTTTCAGTGAAAAGATTGGCAACTGAACATTTTCATAATGATAAAGCAGTTCTGAATATTTATGAATAAACAACAATGATTCCACCAAATTGGACTAAATTATGTTTTGCCTTAGCTTATACACTGTTGGCCATGTGCATTTTCATTTGCAATGTAAAGTATTATAAATTATCTTAATTTACAAAGAATATCTCCATATTACTTCATCACCAGCAATTGTCAATCACATTTACAAAACACTGAATTTTAAAAGATGAATTTGGTAATAATTCTTGAAAATAGAGCTTGATTTCCATTTTTTTATTTCGACAAATGATTTACAATAAGACACCAAAGTGGTTGTTTCTTGATTGGTTAGCAGAGTATTATGTCTGCTAGAAGGAATGCAAGCAAAATTTTTGAGTAGAGTTGCTTTACGTGTAATATCAAGTGTGCAGATCCTTGCATTAACATGTCCTGAAAATTTAAAGTTTTTCTGTCTCTTCTGTATTTGATAGTCTTACTCACTTGACTGTATAAACTTTACATTTCATTATGTGTGTCTGTATGTGAGTGTGTGATCTTAGTAAAGGTATTGGATAAGGAAACCTGATTTAAAAAAAAAAAAAAATCTGCGCTGTGGCATAGTAAGTTAAACCTGCCTGCACCTGCACCTGTAGTGCTGGCATCCCATATAGGTGCTGCCGGTTGACACTAGCTGCCCCATTTCTGATCCAGCTCCTTGTTTATGGCCTGAGAAAGCATTGGAGGATGGCCCAGGTGCTTGGGTCTGTGCACCCATGTGGTAGACCTGGAAGAAGCTTCTGGCTCCTGGCTTTGGCCTGACCCACCCCCCAGGCACTGGGGTCATTTGAGGAGTGAACCATTAGATGGATGGTCTCTATCTTTCCCTCCCCTTCTCTCTGTAACTCTGCTTTTCAAATAAATAAAATAAACCTTATAAAAATCTCCTATACAAGTATCCAGGGATAACATAGTCCAGGGATGAAAAATAAATGGGCTTGCTCTTCATAAGATAGCCTTCTCCCTCTCTTCTGAAAGGGAGGAAATAAACAAAAAACCCTGTGCTCCTTGGAGATAGGTGGAAAGGATCACGGGTTCTCATTTCTGGAATGTAAATATATCTCTCAAAGGGCCATAGCAATCTCCTGTGTCTACAATTTTTATAACCCAGATATGTCTGTAAGTTTCTGGGTCTCATGTTCCCTTGAATTGTAAACATAAACCTATTTCACAGTTAGGTATATCTCTCTGGAGTTCTCTCACCATGCACACAGTTATAAATTACTTCTCATGGGTTGCTCTTAGCCTAAAAATCTCAGTTTTGCAGCATATACATGCAGAAAGTCCCAGCTCTGCAAAAACCCAAAAATAGTTTTTTTCTTTCTCTCAGAAAGAAAACATGTAGGAAAGTTATTCTCTTTTAGTTCAATGAGTATTTTTTGGGGAAGTGTGGTTTTTCTGGAGCAGGTAGAATATAAAAGTGTATAGTTTATTTGGATAATTACTATTATCTCTTCATAAAGTACATTTTAAATATGAGACTAAATTTCTGACTTACACTTTTTTTAAATTATAAAAGTAGAGCAGTCTAACATTGTATTTGCAGAAGACATTTGTTACTTGGGCAGTTATAATCTCAAATATTTTGTCTGAATTTTAAATTTTTTAAAATATTTTATTTATTTATTTTGAAGGCGAAGATAAAGAGAGAGAGAAAGAGAGAGAGAGAGAGAGAGAGAGAGAGAGATCTTCCATCTGCTGGTTCACTCCTCAAATGACTACAACAGTCAGGGTTATGCCAGGCTGAAACCAAGAGCCAGAAGCTTCTTTTGGGTCTCCCACATGGGTGCAGGGGTACAAGCAGCGGATGTATTAGCAGGGAACTGGGTCTGAAAGAAGCAGTCAGGACTCAAACTGGTACTCGTATGGGATGCCAGTGCTACAGGTGGTGTTTTAACCCACTAAACCTCAGTGCGAGCCCTGAATTTCAAAATTTTGATGACTACATGAAAGTTATTCTGTTCAGCAAAGAAAATCTCATTTTCCTATTTACAATACATCTATCACCAAAGATAAATGGTTATTCTTCCCATCTACCAATTTTTCAATTCTCAAGACACCAATTTATTATCAAATGATTCAGTTCAATTGTCACACTACCTGGAGTTAGTACAGATTACCGAGATTAAAGATTCAGTCTCACAAAATTACCCTACTTCGTATACCAGTTGTAAACCTGTGCCTCCTGTATTCCAGACCAACCAGGTATAAATTAGATCCCTACAATCCCATTGTTGGGCTCAGTAATTTGCTTGAGTGTTCACAAAGTTCAGAGTACACCTACTTATATTTACTGTTTAGCAAAAAGGAGAGAGAGAGGTACATAGATGATGCTCTAAAGAGCGTAAGTGCTCCTGTCCCTATGGAGATGAGGTGTATCATCCTACCTGTACATGGATGAATTCTCCAAACTGAAAGCTCTCAGAATTCATTCTAGTATTTCTGCAGAGACTGTAAATCAATTATTTATTAAATCATTGGTCATGAGTAACTGACTCAACCTCCATCCCCTCTCTGCTCTCTGGAGCATTTGTGTATGGGGGTGGGAGTAGGGGTGCTTAAAGTCACAATCTTCTAATTACAAAGTGAGTTCCTTTGGAAATCAGCTGCAAACTTCCAAGAATAATCTTATTGTTATAAACTCTCCTGTGGTCAAAAGGGGGCTCATTATAAATAATGAAAGGTGGCCGGCACTGTAGCTCAATAGGCTAATCCTCCGCCTGTGGCGCTGGTAAGCTGGATTCTGTCCCAGTTGCTCCTCTTCCAGTCCAGCTCTCTGCTGTGGCTGGGGAGAGCAGTGGAGGATGGCCCAGTTGCTTGGGCCCTGCACCCACATGGGAGACCAGGAGAAGCACCTGGCTCCTGCCTTCCGATCAACGCAGTGCGCCGGCCACAGCAGCCATTGAGGGGTGAACCAACGGAAAAAAGGAAGACCTTTCTCTCTGTCTGTCTCTCTCTCACTGTCCACTCTGCCTGTCAAAAAAATAATAATAATGAAAGGTGTTTCTGTCACTCAGGAAATTCCAGGAAGCAAGAGTAACACTAACTATGCTTATTTCTTAATGTATACATTATCACTGCCAGAATCTAATAATAAGCATAAATTACTTGAAGCAAGCAGGAAGCTTAGTAATAAAAATCAAGACATAATCATAAACCATGGTGTCACTGTTAAATTTGAAAAATGCAAGAAATTCTAATTTTCAATAAGTTCTATTTGGTTTTTAAATATCACCAACTCTAAATATGGTAAGAGTAATTCATTTGTGAGAGTTGTGTAGTCATATTAAAAATAAAGGAAAAAGGCCATTTATATCATTTTAACTCTTCTTGATAATTTTTTTACCATTAATTTATTTATGTTTCTCTCCTAGGTTTTGAACTTTCACATTGTGAAGATCCTGGCATTCCACAATTTGGATACAAAATCAGTGACCAAGGGCATTTTGCTGGTAGCACTATCATTTATGGATGCAATCCAGGTTACACTCTCCATGGAAGTAGCCTTCTCAAGTGCATGACTGGGGAGAGAAGGGCATGGGACTACCCTCTGCCTTCCTGTATTGGTAGGATACTCCTTTAGACTTTTACTATGTGTTTCTATGGAAGTGTTATCAAAATATACTCTATATTTTTCAAGTGATTTTTTTCTGTCCACATACCTCAAAATACGTTAATGAACTAATGAATTTGTAAAAAGGAAATCTATGGAAAGTAAAGTTTGTTTATCATAATCTTATAAATCTGTACTTTATTTTTAGCTAACATGGTATGCATGAAGTCATTTTACTATAGCTATCTTGATATGAGACATGACTCATTATAAAAATGTTAAGACTTTTAATCATACAAATTTATTGAATGATATTGACCAGGTTTGTTTAAATTTACAAAATTGTTACCCTTCCTGGAATAAAGATGGCTTTACCAAAATAATAAACAATTCTCAGTAACTTCAAAGACGTTATTTATATACGCACTTAAAAGAAAAAAAAAATCTAGGGGCCAGCATTGTGGTGCAGTGCCCCTTCCTTTCATGCTGGCATCCCATATGAGTAACAAGAGTCCCAGCCTCACTACTCCCTATCCAGCTCCCTGCTACTGTGCCTGGGAAGGCAGCAGAGGATGATCCAAATGCTTAGACTCCAGCACCCATGTGGGAAATCCAAATAGAGCTCCAAGCTCCTGGTTTCTACCTGGTCCAGCCTTGGATGGTGTGTCCCTGTGCGGAGTGAAACAGCAGATGGAAGATCTATCTCCCTCTATTTTCCCTCTCCCCCTCCTTGTACCCCTCCCCCTCTCCTTCTCCCTCGCCCCTTCCTCTTCTCCTTCTCTCCCACTCTCCCCTTCTTCCTCTCTCCCTCTCCCCCTCTTTCCCAATCCCTCTCCCTCTCTCCTTCCCCCTTTCCCCTCCACTTCTCCCTCTCTCCCTCTCCCTCTCACCCCTCTCTTTTCTCTCCCAATCTCTTTCTTCCCCTCTCTCTCACTCCCTGTCTCCCTCTCCCCCTCTTCCCTTCTCCCCTTCACCCTCTTTCCCTCTGTCCCATCCCCTCTCTCTCTCCCTCTCCCTTCCCTTGGCTCTCCCTCTTTTCCATTCCCTCCACTCCCTCTCCCTCTCTCCCCCTCTCCCTCTCTTCCCCCTCCCCCTCTCCCACCTCCCTCTCTCCCTGTCCCCCCCTTTCCACTCCCCTTCCTATTCCCCCTTCCCCTCCTGTCTCCTTCTCTGTCTGTGGCTTTGCCTTTCAAATATTTTTTTTTTAAAAATCTAGACAAGCATATTTTCTTTACTTATGTGTATACAGAGAAAAAAGGAAAATTTCTATCATTGGTATTTGATATGGTCAGAACAGTAATTGTCATAAAGCTCACTAGAATACACATAGAAAAATGAGATTCTAGTCATTATAGGCTACACAACTAATTGCAGTGTTTTTTGATGTCACAGACCACTTTTGATTTATTAAAACATTAATACACACAGAAAGTAAATATGTCTTTATCTGACAAATATGCAATCACAATGCTTTATTTTCAGAGCACATATGGATTTTGGCTACCTTATTTGTGTATTACTTAAAATAGCGATCAACCTAAATTGCCAAAAGCTTGGAATATAATCAACAACTTGTCTATTGGCACTGGCCCTGAGAAAAATGTACCACTGATTCTTCCTAATGTTGTATTTTTTGATGTGAATATGAAATATTTTCAAAAAAGGATTAAAGGTTGCAGCAGCACAAAACCATAAAGTTGTTAGTATTGATTTGCCATGCTATCCTTTAGATTAAAACCAGTAAAATATATTAATATCAGATATTTTATGTGTTTTGAATCAAACTGAAGGCAATATCTATTTTATGGAAATATTTTGTACAATTGGAAAGGTATTTGTTCTGGGATCAGAATATTTGAATTATATTTGTAGTAAATCAATGCATTTTGTATTTAAGAAAACCCAAAGCCAAAATTTACTACCCTGATGCTGCACAAGATTTCATGAGGGATAGAAAACTTTTTTTTAAATAATGCATAATCAGGTGAGTGATGTTGATGATTTCCGTGATAACAGAGGAGGAAATTCTGTTAAAGATGGCTCTTTGCTTCAAGAAATTAATAACTTTACCATATGGCCTAAGATTATGATTTTCTGTCCTCACTAATCATAAATACCTACTATGGATATTTTTGTTTCTGTCAAATAAAGAAATTTTATGTTTTTTAATTATTGAGATTACTGGGTAATTATCTTTCTGAAGCTTATATATTGATCATTGAAAAATTAATTTTATTCACCATACCTGGGAGTATGTAACCTAGGTCTCTTATTTGAACACTGTATTTCATTTCTAATCTTGCAAACCAAATTCTTTTAATAATAAAATGAACTCCCAAGTTGTATCACCCTGGTGCATTTGAGATCAAAATGTCAAGTAATATTTATAATGAAGAAATACAGAGCGGGAGGAGCCTGGCACAGTGGCACAGTAGGGTAATTCTCCAGCTGCAGCACCAGCATCCTGTATGGGCACTGGTTCTAGTCCTAGCTTCTGCTCTTCAGATCCAGCTCTCTGCTATGGCCTGGGAAAGCAGAAGATGGCCCAAGAGCACTTGGTCCCCTGCACCCACAAGGGAGACCCAGAAGCTCCTGGCTCCTGGCTTCGGAGCAGCTCAGCTCCAGCCGTTGAGGCCATTTGGGGAGTGAACCACCAGATGGAAGACCTTTCTCTCTGTCTCTCCCTCTCACTGTCTGTAACTTTACCTCCCAAATAAATAAAATCTGGCCTGTGCCACGGCTCACAAGACTAATCCTCTGCCTGCGGTGCTGGTACTCTGGGTTTTCCTCCCTGTTGGGGCACTGGTTCTGTACAGGTTGCTCCTCTTCTAGTCCAGCTCTCTGCTGTGGCCCTGGAGGGCAGTGGAGGATGGCCCAAGTGCTTGGGCCCTGCACCCGCATGGGAAATCAGGAGGAAGCACCTGGTTCCTGGCTTTGGATCAGCACAGCGCACCAGCTGTAGCAGCCATTTAGGGGGTGAACCAATGAAAGGAAGATCTTTCTGTCTCTCTCTCACTGTCTAACTCTGCCTGTCAATCAATCAATAGATAAATAAATAAATAAAATCTAAAGAAAGAAAGAAAGGAAATACAGAGGAGGTAAAAGAGCTAAATTAAATTCAGCAAACAATATAGTAAACATTTCCTCAATGACTGAAATTAACCTGGAGGAAGTATCAGCTTGTTCTCAAAATAAATATATGCCAATAATAGTGACTAATCATTAAAAGATAATAATGAATTAATATATAGTATTTAGATAGCTGTAGATTGTCCAAAATAGTTTGTATTTAAAAAACACAAGAAGCAAGGAGCTGGCATCCTGGCACAGTAGGTTAATTCTCTGCCGATGGCACTGGCATCCCATCGGGTGTTGTTTCTAGTCCTGGCTGCTCCTCTTCCAATTCAGCTCTCTACTGTGACCTGGGAAAGCAGTAGAAGGTGGCCCAAGTCCTTGGGCCCTTACACCCATTTGGGAGACTGGGAAGATCATCTGGCTCCTGCGTTCAGATTGGCGCAGCTCTGGCCTTTGCGGCCAGTTGGGGAGTGAACCAGTGAATGGAAGACCTTTCTCTCCATCTCTCCCTCTCACTGTCTGTGACTCTACCTCTCAAATAAATAAATAAAATCTTTAAAAACAAAACAAAACAAAAACACAAGAAGTTATAATTACATGTTAAATATCATTACTAAGAATACTAATATATTCTTATTTTTATAATAATAATATATTCTTATTTTTAAGGTCATCTATATGTATTATTATAAATTATATTAAATTGATGTTGCAATGCAAAAGAATATGCCCTTAACCTTGTATAGGTTTCTCTCCTAGCCAGAATTCTCCAGAGAAACAAATCAAATAAACTATTTCTACCATTCTATCTACCTATATCTATCTAACTTAAAGAATTTAGTTATTCTAAGGAATCAACTCATGTAGTTGTAAGGGCTGGAAATTTCTAGGTCTTTAGGACAGTCTAATAGGTTAGAAACTGAGGAAAGAATTTATGCTGCAGTTTTGGGTGATAATTCTTTCTTTTCTGGAAAATGGGTTTTGAATTTTAAGACCTTCCAGCTGATTGAATATTCTCATGTTATTGAGAATAATCTCTTTCTTAAAGCCAGCTGATTGTGGATGGGAATCAAATCTATAAAATGCCTTCATATCTGGATTAGCCTTCGATGGAATACATAGAAACTAGTGGATCCAAGCTGATACCTAAAACTAACCATCACAGTGTGGTGAGAGATAATATCTAAAGTTTTGAAACAAATTTACATATATGGAACGTCAAAATGGAGCCTTTAGATTGTAGTGTCATCAGATCTCTTGCAAATGTAAAAACTATCTTTTACCTTCTTTAGTGTAATAATAAAAATCCACAAGAAAAAAAAATAATTTAATCACTGAATCTGAGCAAGATTGAAACTGTTCAGAGAAAAAGGAAAATAAATAAAGGAGTATCTTCTAATAATTAAGGAAAAGCGCTATTTTGGTTTATTTTTTGGCAAGAGAATAATTTGGAGCTGTTTCATATGCATAATACATCACACAGTGTTTTCCTTGTTTCTGGTGTTTGAAGATGTAGAGCAACACAATTAGCAAAAATATTTACTTTCTCTTTTTTCTAATATAGAGAATCATTTCTAGATTGTTTGCTTACTGAAATAAAATCACTCCTGACATTCCAGTAGTATTTAAATGTAGAGAGAATACCCCAAAAGATAAAATTTTAATTATAATACATGACAATCTACCAGTTTTTATTTTGATAAATTTTATAAAAATTAAAGACCACATTAAATCAGTGCAAAAGTAGATTTAACTGAAGTAAAAAAAAGTAATAAAAATGTCAGTGTGACTTTTTGAAGGTTAAAAGGGACAGTTTAAAGTGATTTAAAGGAGAATAAAAGGACAATGAAATTTAGAAGGCCTGAGGGACCCCGGCAAAGATTAGTTTTTCTCAGAGGTGGGGTAGCAAGATGATGAATTATTCAGTCTGTAATGCACTAGCAGTGAGCATCCTGCCATCTGTTTCCCTTTTAAACTTATCATTATTTAACAACACATTTTAAAATGTTTGGAAGCCTAACTCAGAAGTTTGATGTGTCCTTTCTATTGCCTAATTAGGTTTGTTTTATTGTTTTTATGTGATCTGAGACTGTCATTTTATTGTATAATATATTCTTGCATGAATTCATACTTTAATTTGAGAAAGCTTATACAAATGTATGTTTCAAGAGGAAAAGTAATCAATATTTAGCTTTCTTAATGTGAAAAAACATTATTGACAAATTTGTTTTGAAAATGTTTGAAATTGCAAATTAAACTTCTATTATTTTTTATTAGCTGAATGTGGAGGTCGTTTTAAAGGAGAATCATCAGGAAGAATCTTATCTCCTGGTTATCCTTTTCCATATGACAATAATCTACGTTGCATGTGGATGATTGAGGTAGATCCAGGAAACATCGTCAGGTAAAATTGATTTAATTTTCTCAAAGTTATTATGAATATGAATTTCCTGATCATCTTCTATATACAATATCCATCAGTATCAAGATTTTTCAATAATATTAACCTTGATATGATTTAAAATATGAACAGTATTTATTAACATAACTTATTACTTTATGGACTGCAGCAATAACTCATAGAACCCTGAGAAGGAAGCTTACCATAGTAACAAAGCAAAAGTGTGAAACTTTTCCTTGCTTCTTGTGAACGCAAGAATCACTTCTTAATGATTCAACATGTTGAATCTAACATTTAATAAGGATAAGTTATATCTGTTATGGAGAGATCACCATCATAAGTGTATTTTCATGACTATTTAGAAGAAATTAGAATGGAAGGAGACTCAATTCCATTTCCTGTCTCCTTTAGCCTTACAGACATTTCAGAAGCAACTGTGGTTGCTTTTCTGCTAAGTGTAGGTTTGGGATTCGTAATTTTCCATATTGTTGCCCTTTAGATGAGTATGTAACAATTTCCTCCTAAATCAATAATGGTGAGTTTTCCGTGGCTAACACAGACACTCTTAGTCTTGGTATTACCATTATGAGTTTAGCTGGGAATGGATTACTAAATGAACAAATTGTCCTTGACACAAGTGTGTTATCACTCACAGATAATAAGTTTAATAATTAAGAATTTCTGCCTCATATAAATGGAATTTTAGGAGGGCTTTTAGGTGGTGCACTCCTATGCATTGGTATATTCACTATCAATTGGTATATTACTTTTGCAAGGCAATGTGCAGAACTCAAAACAAGCTATCCTGGATATATCCCCAATTTATTTTACTTTAGTCTAGATTGTGCATGGCTTTATTTCAATATTAAAATTATTGCACTTAAAATATGAAATCCAATGATTCTCTAATTGTTGAAAATGAAAGTAAATATTTTGTTATTAAAGTGCACCCAGATTTAAAGCTGTTACAATTCATGCATCAAAAGTGAATGTGGTACAGTTTAGTTGAGGAAGTTACTAAATGTGGATTTCTAATCTTTGCAAAAGGCAAAAAAGTATTAGATATTAATTTTATCTAGATTAGACATAAAGCAGAGCAGATTTAACATGAAAGAGTAGTAAAAGTATATACTGCACAGTCAGATAACTTGCTACCCTTGTAATCATTTAAACTTCACTTGCCACATTGATAAAATTAAGATGAAAATTGTTACTGCTTCATTGGGTGACTATAACAATGAAACAAATATATCTATAATGCAATTTGCAGAGCACTTGATACACAAGAGATCCTCTATAAATGTCACCTACTACTGCCACAGTTAAAATTCATGAACACTGAAAGGAATGTATACTTAAAATCTCTGATTTGCAAAGGAGATGCAATTATGTATTTAACCGTATTTTAAAGAAAAAATTTACATAATGCATAGAAAGCTGATTAAGTTTGTGTGATGTTTCCATAATTCATTTATTTTAATTCAGAAAAGAAAGGAATACCTAGTAAAAGCAGCAATGCATATTTTCTCTTTTCTGTATTTAAACCTGAATCCTTGTTTTAAAAAGTTAAACAGATATGTGGTTCTTCCACAGCCTGCAGTTTCTTGCTTTCGATACGGAAGCATCACATGATATACTCCGAGTTTGGGATGGTCCACCAGAAAACGAGATGTTATTAAAAGAAATTAGTGGATCTCTTATTCCTGAAGGAATCCACAGCACCCTCAACATAGTAACCATACAGTTTGACACAGATTTTTATATCAGCAAATCTGGATTTGCAATTCAGTTTTCAAGTGAGTTATTATTATTATTGTTACTATTTATTTCTTAAATGTAATTTAAATAGTCATGATTACTGTCCAAAATCTATTTTAAAATTTTAGTGATCTTAATTATTTTTATTTCTGGTCTTACTATTTCTCTGAATTCAAGGTAAAATGCTCTTTGAAAAAAAATACAATTAATTGTGAATATTAGTTGTTGAAATTTTTCTCCATTGGTCAAAACAATTGTCCTTAGAGATAGTGTTAAAGAAACCTGGATAATAAAATAATTACACTATGAAAATTAGTAAGATTGAATATTCCTTATCCAAACTGTTTGGGACCAGAGTGTTCTGGATTTGGGATTTTTTCAGGTTTTGGAATATTTGCATATACATAATGAGATATCTTGGATATGGAATCACGCTCATCTATGTTTCAGATACACATAGCCAAAAATTAATTTTATACAATATTTTTAGTGTACCTGTATCTTCACTGCAAGATGAGATAAGGTGTGGAATTTTCTACTTAGAACATAATATTGGAATTCTAAAAGTTTGGAAATTTTGAAGCATTTGGGAATTTTGAATTTTGTTCCATTTCTAATATGACCAGGCCATAAAACCAGTATTTTTAAATGTTTAGTTTTTGTAGGCATGAAAAGAAATGAATAATATTTACTCTTTAAAAATCACACATATTTTACTAATTTTATTTGTATTCTAGTGAATATCTTAATTAAATCTCCACATAAGTCTTTCAAAGAAAAATTTAGGCTATTTAATAAAGATTTTCTGTAATAATGAAATATGATTCGTTGTAAGAAATACCAGTGTTCGGCCGGCGCTGCGGCTCAATAGGCTAATCGTCCGCCTTGCGGCACCGGCACACCGGGTTCTAGTCCTGGTCGGGGCGCCGGATTCTGTCGCGGTTGCCCCTCTTCCAGGCCAGCTCTCTGCTGTGGCCCAGGAAGGCAGTGGAGGATGGCCCAAGTGCTTGGGTCCTGCACCCGCACGGGAGACCAGGAGAAGCACCTGGCTTCTGGCTTCAGATCAGCACGATGCGCCGGCCACGGCAGCCATTGGAGGGTGAACCAACGGCAAAAGAAAGACCTTTCTCTCTCTCTCTCTCTCACTGTCCACTCTGCCTGTCAAAAAAAAAAAAAAAATACCAGTGTTCTTGACTTGTTTTTGTTTTGTAAGTTTTCTTTTCTTTTTATAGCACTGCTAAGAGATTGAATGCATATTAAATATATATATTTTGTTTAGTGGTTGGAAAAAACAAATGAAAATTTAAATATTTTTATTTCTATTATTATTTTTATTTCTAAAGCAATGTCTCTTTGAAAACAGTTGCTAATGCATCCTTTATTTGTTTAGTCTTTAAAAAGCCTATTAACATAAATCTATAAGATTTCCAATATCATGTAGGGTGAAAACTAGTTTTCTAATGTGCCTCAATTCATGTCCTTCCTCTTTACTAATCACTGACATTAGACACTTTAATTTATTTTATTTTTAAGATGTATTTATTTATTTGAAAGTCAGATTCATAGAGAAAGAGAGGAGAGACAGAGAGAGAGAGAGCTTCCTTCTGCTGGTTCACTGCCCAAATGGCTGCAATAGCCAAGGCTAGGCCAGGCAAAAGCCAGGAGCCAGGAGTTTCTTCAGGGTCCCCCTGGTGGGTACAGGGGCCCAAGTACTTGGGCTATGTTCTGCTGTTTTCCCAGGCCATTCAGAGAGAGCTGGGTAGGAAGTGGAGCAGTCCCAGCTGGAACCAGCACTCCTATGGGACACCTTCACTCAAGGAGGCTGCTTAACCTGCAGAGCCACAGGACAGGCTCACAGGCATTTTACCTCATTACTGAGGCCAAGTTTACTGATAAGAATAATAATGCTCATCTCACAAATAGGCTATTAAGATAAAACACAATCGTGAGCATAATATTTTGCATTGACAATATAGTAGGTACCTAATGACCTATTATTTTAAGTGAATGAATATAAAACTAGAGTGCTTTGAAAACAAGGTAATAAAACATGAGGCTTTTGAAATAAGTGTCAACAGAATATTATTGTGTTAGGTAAACAATTGTTCAATGCATAAATGGCTTGAAAAATTTTGTCTTAGAACATTGTTTCATATAATGACTAACACAATTTTTTTTTCTGGTGTCAGGAGTGGGATATGAAAAATGAGTTGTTTTATATTATGTAAACCAAGCTCAGGACTGATATAAGAGCAAACAGTAAAGTCAATATCTATAATTGCACTTTAAACATGTTTTTGAGAAAAAGGAAGAAAGAAACAAATATAAGAATGTAAGAATAGAGAATGCCAATAACTTTTAATTATGAAACATTTACCAATTAAATATTCTTCATGCTTTTAGAGTTTATTTTCTACTGTTTATATCTCTTTTTTGAAGTAAGAGCAACTTATTAGCTTGGCAACAAACAATTCTTTCTTTTACCTTAAATTAGTAACATACAGTGTTTTCAACTTACATGGTTCTTGTGTTTAAATATATGTAGATTAATTGAAAATGTGCTTCAGGATTACTGTCTATGAATATAAAATACAACAGATTAATATGAACATGCTTTTCTGGGAATTTTTTTGGAGATTTGTCTGATATTAAGAGTGAATTTTCTACTTATATTTGTAGAACATATTAAAGTTGTGGAGACAATATATATCATAGTAGAACTTTACTGTATCTGCCTTCACAATATTCCTTAATATAAAAACATTGTATCACCCATCAAGCCTAAAAATGTACCTATTGAAATAAAGTTACATTGAAGGAAAACATATTATGTACAGCACCAATCAATGAAAATTAGCCTGTTGGATAGAGATCTTTTATAAAACACATGCTCATATAGCTTTCTGAATGTTTAGATTTCAAAACTGGAAAATATTCTTTTTATGAATGAGATTTTGCTGGTGCTAATAACTATGTGAAGTGCTTTATATTGATGATCTCATTTAAGCTTTATATAAGATACGGTAAGCATCCTTATTTCCCAAAAAAAAATACACTGAGTTTCAGGGTTCAGAATGTCAGTTAATTTGTTCAAGAATCTGCCATTAGCAGATAGTTGGATGGGGGTTCAAATTCACAAGAATCTGGAGGAAGATTATTTTGTGGTTGGTATGTAGTAATTACTTAGCAGTAGTTTTTATGCTGTCATTATTCTAGAAACATGAATTAATATGCAAGAGGAAATAGACAGTTTCCATTATGTATTAGTGGTCACAATGAAGTTCTGCATCTTAATTAGCTCGGTTTCCTGATTATGTTCCCAAGCATCACATCAAAGTTCACACTGTTGAAGAGCAGTGGAGCAGTGAGGAGGAATAAAGGAGAGGAGGAGTGTGTGCTGGCTAGGTGAAAGTTGCAATTGCCACCTAGAGATCTGGACACTTTTCCCCTCAGAAAGACAGGCCAATTTTAAAGTGGAACCTGGAATAATTTTATATAACGTCATCCAATTTTCAAAGTAAACAAGCAATATTAAAAAGAATGTAAGTGTACTATAGGCCAATACTACTGAGTGGGTAAAATTTGACTTGCAGTTCAGTTTGCCACTTCTGTGCCTATGGAAATTCCTCTCCCTTTGATAAATATAGTTCATCGTATTCATTCATTCATTGTAGGGAAGTGCATTAAGAACACCATATTAATAATATTTATCTAGAATAAATTCCAAAATGCATCATTTCTTTCATTGAGGCAAATCTTAATTTCATTCAGACACAGACACAGGCACACATACCCATACACACACACACACACACACACACACACTCACTCACACACATGCCCTGCTGTTTTCAAGTCTGCTGCCTTAGCCCTGAGGCCAACCAGGGAATGCATGTCCCTGCTGTTTTCTATAATGAAACTTCTTTCACTTTACATGTTATATCTGCTGTTTTGTGCTTCAATTCTATTCATTCTTCCAGATTCAGTGTGAAGATAGATCCTTTAGTTAAGCATTTTCTGACCATATCACTTACACTAGTTTTGATGTGAGTTTTTTGGCCCATAATAAAGATCAGAATAATTTAGCAATTCATTTTTCTGGAGGTGCTTTAATTATGTGGTATATGCTTTCTTAAATATATCATGAATACCTTTATCTCCCAAACTATCTTTATGGAACAGATATCTTCGTTAGGGTAATCATATAATATAATGTCAAATTTTAAGTTGTTTTTTGGAGTAAAAAGTAGTGCTATTAAAAATTAATGCTAAAAAAAAAGTACAAACCAAACAGTCCTTGAACTTCAGGATGTGCTATCATTTAATTTTTTTATGATTTACTCATTTATTTGAAAGGCAGACTTACAGAGAGAGGAGAGAGTGAGAGTGAGAGTGAGAGAGAGAGAGAGAGATCTTCCATCAGCAGGTTCACTCCCCAAATGGCAGCAATGGCCAGAGTGGAGGCTACCTGAGCCTAGGAACAAGGAGCTTCTTCCGGGTCTCTCACATGGGTGCAGGGGCCCAAGCACTTGGGCCATCTTGTACTGCTTTCTCAGGCATATTGGCAGGGAGCTAGATCGAAAGAGGAGCTGCTGAGACTTGAACCAGAGCCTATATGGCATAATGGTGTTGTGGACAGTGGTTTAACCTGCTGTGCCAAGAGCTGGCCCCTAAGTTCTTTTTCATTTGTTTGTTTTAATTTCATTTGAAAGTCAGAAAGAGGGAGAGAGAAAGAGAGAGCGAGAATTTCCTTTCTCTTTCTTTTTTTTTTTTTTCTTTTCTTTTCTTTTTTTTTCTTTTTTTTTTTTTTTCCACAGGCAGAGTTAGTGCGAGAGAGAGAGTGAGAATTTCCAACCACTGGTTCAAGTCCCTGGACTCAGCTAGGCAGAAGCCAGGAGACAAGAACTCAATCCATGTCTCCCATATGCACAGTGGGAACTCAAATCTTTGAGCCATCACCTGCTACCTTAATTGTATGCATTAGCAAGAAGTTGAAAGAGAAATGGAGGAGCCAGAGCCAGGAATCCAACTAGGCACT